CTCGCTTTCACTGTCCCAGCACAGCAGTTCCCCTTGACTCTGTGGAAGGGAAGGACCACACTGGGCCAGAGAAAGGAAGCTCAGATCTTCTCCCTCATGTTTGATACTAAAACACATCTGACTAAAAAGAATATGGCAAGAAATTAAAAGTTTAGTTTCTCAGCTGGGCTTCCAATTAGAGAAGAGAAATGAAATTCAACATTCTTCTACACACATCAGATTTTGCCTGTGTGATTTCTTGTGCCTGAAAAAGGCAGTATAATTTGTGAAACATTTTCCACAATCTGGGCATTTGAATGGTTTCTCTCCTGTGTGTAAACTTACATGATTTATAAGGCTAGACCTACTACTGAGATCTTTCCCACAATCCGGACACTCATACGGCTTCTCTCCTGTGTGAGTCCTCTGGTGTATCACCAGCTCAGCATTCCATCTGAAATTTTTCCCACAATCTATACACTCATGCGGTTTCTCTCCCGTGTGATTCCTCTGGTGTATTACCAGGTAGGAATTCTGACTGAAACATTTCCCACAATCATGACATTTATATGATTTCTCTTCTATGTGAGTAGACTGATGTTTCACCATGTTATATTTCTGAGAGAAACCCTTTCCACAATCTGGGCATTCATATGGTTTCTCTCCTGTGTGAGTCCTCTGATGTCTAAACAGGTAGGAATTACAAGTGAAACCTCTTCCACACTCTGGGCACTCATACGGTTTCTCTCCTTTGTGAGTCCTCTGATGATTAACCAGGTGGGAACTCTGACGGAAACTTTTCCCACAATCTGGACACTCAAATGGTTTCTCTCCTGTGTGAGTCCTCTGATGTGTAACCAGGTTGGCATTCCGAATGAAACTTTTCCCACAATCTGGACACTTATATGGTTTCTCTCCTGTGTGAGTCCTCTGATGATTAACCAGGTGAGAATTTCGAATGAAAATTTTCCCACAATCAGGACATTTATATGGGTTTTCTCCTGTGTGTATCCTCTGGTGTCCCACCAGGTAGGAATTCTGACTGAAACGTTTCCCACAATCCAGACACTTGAATGGTTTTTCTCCTGTGTGAGTTCTCTCATGTAAGACCAGATTGGAATTCTCACTGAATCTTTTTCCACAATGCAGACACTCATATGGTTTCTCTCCTGTGTGAGTTTTCTGGTGTCTAACCAGGCAGGAATTAAGCCTGAAACTTTTCCCACAATACAGACATTCATATGGTTTCTCTCCCGTGTGAGTCCCCTGGTGCTTTACCAGGCAGGAATTCCGAATGAAACTTTTCCCACAATCTGGACACTTATATGGTTTCTCTCCTGTGTGAGTCCTCTGATGTCTAACCAGGCTGGAATTTCGAAAGAATTTTTTCCCACAATCAGGACATTCATATGGGTTTTCTCCTGTGTGTATCCTCTGGTGTCCCACCAGGTAGGAATTTTGACTGAAACTTTTCCCACAATCCAAACACTGATATGGTTTATCTCCCGTGTGAGTTCTCCTGTGTATGTCGAGATGGCAATTCTGACTGAAACATTTCCCACAATCCAAACATTGATATGGTTTATCACCCGTGTGAGTCCACTGGTGCTTTACCAGGTTGGAATTCTGACTGAAACTTTTCCCACAAACGGGACATTCAAAGCGTTTCTCCCTAGTGTGAGTTCTCTTGTGTCTCACCAGATTGGTTTGCTTGCTAAATCTTTTGCCACACTGGGAGCACTGGTAGAGCTGCTCCTCCTGCATCGGTCCTTCCATGAATAATGGGAGTGCTGTTCTGAGTAAAGCTTTTGCCACAGTCCAAACATTTGCATGGGTTTTCAAGGGGTGGATGGACTCATGCAAAAATCAGGTGTGATCTGCAATCAATGTTTTTCCCAAAATAGGCAGTTGGTGGGATTTTTCTAACACTGATATTCTTGGATTCATGAGGTGGTCAAAAATATTTCTGATCCCTTGTCTGGTGGTGCTTTGATCCAAGACGCTTTCCTTCCTCAAACACTTTCATTAATGCCTTGGTACTTTTTCATGCAATATTTTCTTGAGTTCCACATAATCTATTTCTTCTATCTGAAAACTCTGTTCCTGTTATTCTCTCCTTTGTCTCCCTCCATCTGTTAAGGAAAGAGAAAGGTTTTAACACTTTCTGGAGGAAATGGAAAAGATTTTGATTGATGGTTTGTTTTGCATTTTAATGCAACTTCTCATTCTCTGTTGTCCAGAGTGCTCTTCTTGGCATCCTCTCTATCTATAAGATTCACATTAATGGATTAGTTTCATTATTGTTTAAAAAATGGCTGCTGAACCTGTGAAAACAGCAAAAAAAATCCATCTATCACTATGAAAAAGCAAACATATCAAAATGCTAATTTAACCTCTAAGATTCATTATGATTCATCAGGCACAAAGGAGACTAGCAAAATCAAACTTCAAGTATCCACTCATATTTCAAATCATGGAATTCTCTTCTTGGCTTGGGTAAATTATTATCATTGCAAATAGTTGTTACAAAAATACCT